AGGAGTGTCACATGCAAATTATAGGAAGCAAGTTCTCCACTCTTTTCAGCATTGATGAGGCCTTATCTAGAGTACTCTATACAGCTTTGGGCTCTTCATCTTTCTGTGGATAAATTGGAAAGAGTACAGAGGGAGATAACAAAAAAGATAAAAGGTCTAGAAAAAAGTTGCAGTAGAGAAAAAGTTGGAAGAATGAGTTGTTATCAGATATCCCCTCAGCCACCTTTTCTCTAGATTAATGATCTTCAAATGCAGACAGGACAGAGATCAATTGTTTCCTAGGCCCATAGGGAACAGACAAGAAATAACAGGGTTTAATTGCAACAAGGCAGGCTTAGTTTAATATTAGGTAGAAATCTCTTAACTTGAGAGTGGTTAAGCATCAGAACAGATTACCTAGACAGGCTGTAAAATCACTTTCACTAGAAGTTTTAAGTGCAGGTTACACACAAGCATTCAGCTGGGGTGGTTTAAGCAGGGGTGATTCAGCCCTTAGTAGGGGGTTGACCATTGTGGCCCTTCTAGCCTTAAAATTCCATGAATTAAAAAAATTGTAATAATTCTTAATAAAATAGTATTTAATAACATAATTATCTGCTTTCAGTACTGCAAAGCACTTAAGCAAACACTTCAGTTATGTAAGCAGACCCACTCGGTGCTATTTTTGTGGCACATCATGGAACTTGAAGTCCAGGGGGAAGAAGGAGCAAGACCTAGTCTCTGTCCTTTTCCTGAAATGTAGAAGCTCCTGACATAACCTAGACTTGCCTCAAAAGACCTTCTGAATTATGGCATCTTCCTCTAATTGATTTATGAACTACAGCATTATCCAAAACTTCTATACTGTTAAGGTCCCGTCCTCATCTGTCCTCTTATCAGCACTTGCAAGAAGGGCTTTGGGAATTAAGCTTACTGCTGTCTTCCACAGTGATAACTGAGTATTCTCTCCAGAGAGAATACTTCCCAGGTAGAATTGAGGCATTTAAGGCCCCAAAGCTAAATGCAGTTCTAGCCCTCTTATGTGGGCATGAGTGAGGATCTTGCCAACTGATTTTAATATACCCACTTGCTTGAAATTATATGCATGCTTTCTTGAAATTAAACACATGCTTAAGTGCTTTTTTGGAATTGGGTCAGATGGCTTGACATTCTGCAAAATTGAGCTAAAAATCAATTTTGTGGTATTTTACACTTTTGTTCTTAAGTGACCGTTAACTGGGTATCTTGGAAGATCCCTTCTACTTGACCATAACTGTTAATTTCCATACTTTAAAAAAAAAATTCTACCAGTAGTAATTAAAAATCTAAGTTGTAAAGTTGTTGTTTTTATTAGTTTCTCAAAGAAATTCAGTTTGCACAAACTATAGTATCACGAGCCATGAAAGAGATGTGTCAATCAAAAGTTTCCAGAGTAATCGGGTAGGAAGCTTTATTTACAGAAAATGAATAAGAAAGAAAAAAGGGAACTGGTTGGAAGTGATCTGTGTTTCATGTCAGCAGTCTTCAGGAATTCAGGTGTTGTCTTTTGTGTAATGACTTCCAATGCTAAAAACTTGAGATTGTCATGGATATACCTTTCTATGCTTGTATGGTTCAATGTTGATGGGGAGCGACTTCATAGAGCAAGATTTGTTCCATTATGCACACTGCAACACAATGTAACACTGAAATCTCTGATACTTTTTTTCATAAGGAATTATTAAACATCTGCTTCATGTTTCCACTCAGCACATGATAAACGTGGTTTGAGCTGTTAATCCAAAACTGAGAGCGTTAAGTAGTATTGACCTGAAAATCTATTTTAAAGCCAGCAATAGGCCTAATAGCCAGCAAAGTTACTATTCTGAATATTTTTTAAATCACCATTATGATGTTCTGCTGCAAAACTAGCACCATTTTTTAGGAAAGCAATACCTTCATCAGCCCATTTCTTGTAAAGGTCTGCATATGTTCATATGTTCTTACAGACTACCTTCTAACATTGTGAATTTTGACAAGTTTCCTGCTACAAGGCAGTGCTATAATGTTGATGTTTAAGCATTTGTTTCCTCATTACCTTAAGTGC